AAATATCTGTCGTATGTAGCTGGCCTACTATCTTGTGCATTAAGTAGCAATAGGATTTGCGATATTTTGCAATTAATGCATGTCGAGAAGGTCTCATTTAATTTATATCTACCACTTGTTCCGAGATATTTCTGTTCTTTGTTACCAATTGTTTCGTGTAAATATGCTTTCAGAAATAGTCTCGAGGAGCAAGATTTCCAGCTACTGGGGCTTTATTTTATTGTTGCTTAATGATGGTGGCTTGGGATTAGAGCTATTGGTTATTAGGCAATTGTTTAATTGCCAGAATGAAGAAAAGTTATGGCCGGGTTCTGGTTGCGTCCCTGTCTATGCTGTTGTTGATGGTTTATGTTATCTCAAGAAGTTCAACTCGGCAAAATTATTATGCAACGCCCTTGTACAATTCCGTTGCTCCTCTTCAGTGGCTCAATCCTGCAGTTCCAACTGCAGTACAAAATCCTGAAATTGCATATCAAGTGATTTCTGCTGACTCTATAATATCCAGTCTGTTCACTCCGGGGAACTTTACTGATGGAGAGAATCGAGCTCTTCAGACTTGGAACCATTTAAGAACCATAATTAATCATACACGAGGTTTGCCTAATGCCGTTGAGGCCATTAAAGAAGCTGGGGGTGTATGGGATATTCTCAAGGCTTCGATTGAAAAGGAAAGGCTTGGTTATATAAATGGAAGTGCACGTGCGAAAGAGAAGCAATGCCCTCATTTTCTAACTAAAATGAATGCTACAAAGCTTGAGCACAATGGTCATAAGCTGAGAATGCCATGTGGCCTGACTCAGGGTTCTTCAATCACAGTCATTGGCATTCCAGATGGACTTCTTGGAAATTTTCGAATTGACTTGACAGGGGAACCACTGCCTGGGGAGCCTGATCCACCCCTCATTTTGCATTACAATGTTCGGCTTTTGGGGGATAAGTTAACTGAGGATCCTGTAATTGTTCAGAACACCTGGACAGTTTCTCATGATTGGGGAGATGAGGAGCGATGTCCATCCCCTGGTTCTGATGAAAATGGAAAAGGTATAAACGTCTATCATATTTCTTTGATTAATTTCATGCATTCACTAAGCAAAATAACTATTTTAGTCAAAATTATGTTTTAAAAATGGAGTCTAGATTAAATTGTGTTGCTTCTATTTATAAGCAATTCAAGTTTGATTACATACGATCTTACCTTGTGGCTCGCTGATATTAAAGTTATTAATGCATATGCTTGCATACTTTTCAACAACATTGACTCAAGTCGCACGATGTGCATGTAATTGATTTATCAAGCATTGTTTCCTTTCACTTTGAAATTAATGTTGTTGATTTTATATCCTAGTGGATGAATTGGAGAAATGCAACAAGATAGTGGGCAATGTCGAAACTCGCCTTTCTGATTCAAATAAGAATTTCAACAAATCAAAATCTATGGTGCAAGGATCTAAAACAAGACCGTACTTCCCTTTCAAACTGGGTCAACCATTTGCTGCTACACTTAGAGTGGGAGTAGATGGAATCCAGATGACAGTTGATGGAAAACATGTTACTTCTTTTGCTTACCGCGAAGTATTATCACTCATTCTTATATTCGTTGTCTTTACGTTGATCTCTGAACAATCACTCTAATGCTGTTTTGGCTTGCTTCTTATTTAGACTTTGGAGCCATGGCTGGTCAGTGAAGTGAAGATTTCAGGAGACTTGAAATTAATTTCTGTCCTGGCTAGTGGTTTGCCCACATCCGAGGACTCTGATCATATTGTTAACATAGAAGCATTGAAATCTTCACCCCTCTCACCGGAAAAACCATTGGATCTTTTCATTGGTGTTTTCTCCACAGCAAACAATTTTAAATATCGGATGGCCATTCGGAGAACCTGGATGCAGTATCCTGCAGTACAGTCAGGGTCTGTTGCAGTTCGCTTCTTTGTTGGGTTGGTGAGCTTCGCATGTACTCTTCTTTGATTGAAAAGAATCCCATACAAGTACTTGGTTTCATAGGATTCGAAGTTTTAGCTGTTCGTCACATGAACCACAATTTATTTCCAAAATTTATCTTGAGGCCACTTCTAAGTCTGCTCATAATGTTTTCAAGTGAAGTTGAGTGAGCTGCTTGAGAAGCCTGCTACTCTATTTTTAAAAATCTATTGGTTGGGTACTTGAATTGGAATGATTCATCAGCTGTTCATAAGAAAAGTGTGAATTCATAAAGAATACAGTTTTAAGTGGCTTAAAATCAGTTTGCTTCATTTGCAGCATAAGAACCAAATAGTCAATGAGGAACTGTGGGATGAGGCCCGAACATATGGTGACATACAGATGATGCCTTTTGTTGACTATTACAGCGTTATTACCTGGAAAACGTTGGGCATCTGCATCTTCGGGGTAAAGATTCGTTCTTTCACTTGTGAATTTATCATATGATTCAAGTTAACAATCTCGCTGCTTTGACAGGCAGAGATTGCTTCAGCGAAGTATATCATGAAGACAGATGATGATGCCTTTGTTCGAGTGGATGAAGTTCTTGCTTCTTTAAAAAGGATTGATGCACAAAGTGGATTGCTTTATGGACTTATCAACTCAGATTCTCAACCTCACAGAGACCCTGAGAGCAAGTGGTATATTAGCATGGAGGTAAATTTCCACATCGAATTTTGCTTATATGGGGAAATGATCTAACATTGCGTGATAACCCAAGACTAAAAATTCACTTCACTTTTTTTTTTTTTTTTTTTTTTTTTTTTTTTTTTTTTTNTTTTTTTTTTTTTTTTTTTTTTTTTTTTTTTTTTTTTTTTTTTTTTTTTTTTTTTTTTTTTTCACTCTTATGGGTCTTACCTAACCTGACTGCCCTGAAAGGAATGTTAACATGAAAGGAACTTTAATCGACATTTCTGTTAAAAAAAGAGTTTTTCCAAATATAATTCACATTTTTTAACAAGCTTGCTCATTATTTGCGTGTGTTAAAATATCATTAATAGCTCAATAGGGTGAAGTCCAATAATTATATAAACTCATTGTATATTTATTTTTTGGAAGATGGTTTAGGTATCTTTACCTAGGAAAAAAATTTAGATATGTTAGGAATAAATTGTCTGGTCTCTACGGTAAATAACCCCTCACCCTACTTCATCAGAGAGAGTATGCAATAGTTTCTTCAGAATGTCTTGTAATATATTCTCGATTGATAATAAAGAGTGTGAGTGTTTTCCACAAAGAATTGTGTTCAACAGCCTGTATACCGCATTCTCGATTTATCTAATATTAGTCGGCTAGTTTTTATTTTCTACCATCTTATATTCATTGAATGCTCCAATGTAGGCATGGCCCGAAGATAATTATCCAACATGGGCACATGGTCCTGGGTATGTAGTGTCTAATGACATAGCTAAGACCATATCCAAAAACTACAAAGAGGGCCGCTTAAAGGTATCTGCTATTTCATTGATCGAAAAAGGTATTATTCCATAAAGGAAAAACTAAAAACAGGATGTCATTTCTTCAGATGTTTAAATTAGAAGATGTAGCCATGGGAATCTGGATAGAAAACATGAAGAAAGACGGCCTCAAAATTCAGTACGAGAAGGACGACAGAATTCACATTGAAGGTTGTAAGGATGATTATGTGGTTGCTCATTACCAGGGACCTCGGGAGATGCTCTGTTTATGGCAGAAACTCCAGGAAGGAAATGGTATTAGATGCTGTGGTTCTGATAACTAAGAGGTACTATTCTGACGGTCGAACTAGTACATATTAAACAACGATACAAGGGTCGATCCCCCCTGAAAGAGAAGAGGTAACATGACCTCGTAACAATTGCTGTGTAATTAGATGTTTGTGTAGAGAAACCTATGAATTAAAGAGTTGCTTGAAATTTTGTACATTTCAAGTGACCGAGAGTGTCGTGTTAGAATGAGAGTTGTAGCATGTACAGTGGTATATAGTAACAATAGGCAATCAATTAAATTCTTACCAAATCGTGGCTTCATCACAATTCATTTTCAATGATGTTTGTGCAATTACATTTACAACTTGCCTTAATTCTGAACATATCTATCATTGATTATCATACAAAATCCATCTGCCTGCAGTATTTGGTATAATAGATGTATGCTCTACCTCTACCCAGAACAGTATGTATCACATTATGTCCAGTCAATTGATTATCATACAGATTAGGAGCTAATGCATGTGCAGTTCACTCTTACATTCCAATGTGGGGAAGTTAAATAGCTTTGACTGGAACCCAAAGGGTGAAGAAGCCTTTGACATCAGACCAGGCATGCCACCTGCGGTAAAATTGAGCGGAATATAGCAATCTAGATATTTTAGAAAGAAAGATTTAGATATTTAAGAAGTAGAATTTTGTGGTTACGGAGAATTCAGCTACAAGAGAACTAGTAATGGAGAGCTTTTCCCTCTTTTCTGTCTGCCTCATTGGTCTTAAGAATGCTGGTTTTAAGAATGAGTGATTGTCTTTCTCCGACTCTTACTGTCCAACCGGATAGCGGACAACTAATGCGTTCCACTTATTGAACAGGGTTCTATGGTCAGTCCGCGACCCCTGGATACCGAAGGCGTCTTTAGGGTGATCTCGTAGTTTCTACGGAGTGGAGACGATGGGGTCGGTCCATGTATTTTCCTTCCTTTTGCTGCATTTCGCTCAAAGAGTTGAAGGGAGATAGTGCATCAAGCTGTTCGCAAGGGTCAACTTGATCCTCTTTTCCAGGGATCCCAGATGAGAGAAACCTAAGAGAGCTGTCGACTCTAACTATTGTCCATGTACGATCCATACTAGATCTGACCTCTAATATAAATACTCCTCCAACGTGACTGAGTTAAGGGTATAACTCTAATACCATATTAAAAAATACGACCCCCTACAATGACAATAGTATGATATTAGATCGTATACTTTCGTGGCTTTGCTTTTAGTTTTTCCGTAAGGAGATATATTCATTATTTATTAATACATGATATTCCATTAATTAATTAATTAATTAATGTCAACAATATTGAACACATCTGACTCCAACAAATTCCAGATCCTTCTTCAACCTTCTTCTTTCTTCTTCAACCCCTCCTCTTAATACCCCTCTCCACTCCTCTTCTTCCTCCACTATCCCATTCTCTAATCCCTTCAATTCCCCTCCGATTTCCCATCAATGCCTTCCGAGCCAGACCCCTCTGAGCTTTCTTCAGCCCTCGAAACACTAATTCTCAACACAGACGTGTCTCTACTGGCACCCCATTTTCTAGGTTTCGCCACTATGATCCATACAATCGCTCCGCAATCCCCAAATCAAGGAATCGAAACAAACCCCACTTTACCCGACCGGTTCATCTTCTTCAATCCTTTTCTCCATCAATTGATAATGATCCAATCCACTCCTAAGAACAGCCAGCCCCCAGCTTCGAAAGCTTCGATCATAGCCATGCCCTCTGTTCATGTCTCTGCACAAACTGAGTGTGTGATTTGCTTGGATGAGATCGAAGTCGGGGGCGTTGCTAAAGAAATGCCCTGTAACCATAAATTCCATGGCGATTGCATTGAGAAGTGGCTGGAGTTACATGGGTCGTGCCCTGTTTGTAGATATGAGATGCCAGTTGATGATGATGAAGATGAAGGGAAAAAGGTTGAAGATGAAGGGACTGAGAGAATGGGAGAAAGGGAGATTTGGGTGAGTTTTTCCTTTGATAATCCTATGGGAAATCAGGATTCTCTGCAAACTCCTCCAATTGATTCTGATCATTCTTATGTACAGTGAAATACTTAATAGTTCATATATATATTCTTCTCTTTGCTCTGTCTCTGATTGTGTGTAATCATGCCACTTTTCAAATGAATCCCTCAGATTAGAACAAAGATCTTTGATACTTTGAAGAATTCTGGAATTAAATTGTGAGTCAATTCAGTAGAACAACTCACAAAACAGACATGATTGAATTAAGGGTCCCTTTTAGGCTTTCCCTTTTGATCTCTTCAGATTTTAAAATGCATTTGTAAGGAAGAGGTTTATGACTTTTATTCTCCAATTGATATAAATCTCCAACATCAACTTGTTAGTGTCACTGTACTGCAAAGCCCTTCTGCCATTCAACATCTCTTGCAGTGGCTGCTGCTTCTGCCATTACTTAAAATAAAATATCATCTGTTCTAAAAATATACACCAGTTATGAATCACTCATATACATACAGATACCTGGTTTGCATCTCGGGAAGCTTGATACCTTGGCCAAGTTGAATCATAATTACATCTTTGTCGGCACATGGTCAGAATTATGGTCTCTTTCTACTTCTTGCAAGCTTACGGTTTCATGTTTTGTTTTATTTTTCGATGGGTTTTTTCACTGTTTCCTCACGTTACTACTTCACTATCAATCACTGAAGAGTATTTAACTTTGCAATGTGGTCCTTGTTGATTCACACTGGATTCCACATATCCCATAAAAACATTTCATTAAAGTGAAGAGACAGAAGAAAGGCACTGGAGACGAAGATTACCCAACTTTTAAATCCTCTTTTTAGATCTCTAAACTCAGCAACAATATGGTTGACAATCTTGGCCAGTTGAAGATAAGCAATTACATCTGAAATGATGAGCAAATTGTCGCGTTTCATGACTTATTTTGAAGGTGGGTTTGGAAAGAGATTGAAGAATGAAAAGGCAACATGGAAAGAGAGGAAAATTGGAAAGAAAAAATGGTAATGGGTCTTGTCTGATCCACCATGGAAGTGGAGAATGAGGAAGAAGAAGTCAAATAAAAAAACAATAAATGGTGAGCTGTTTTGAATGGGAAGAAGAAGAAGAAGAAGAAGATGAACATTCTGGACAATCATGATGAACAAATTTGAAACCCGAATTCGTCAACCTTGTAATGGATTATGAATGGAAATCTTCTCCTTTTTTTCATATTCAAGTCTAAACAATCATAAACGAACGGATACTATTTGAACACATGATTACTACAAAATACTTAGAAAAATTGAAAGTAACTGTCTATACCAACAAAGTGCACTTCTCGTTTATGGGCCTTAATTACCACATATGCATGAGAGCGATCTTAAGAATAGAAACTACATGGTTAAGTGTGTGATTGACCTCCATTTAATTCGAGATAATTCATGTGTTAGGTTAAATTATCTCATCCAATTATTTCATATCAAAATTTTTAAAACCACATATTATATTCAACAAAGGTTTTTTTTTTTTTTTAAATACTAAAATGTTATATTTAAAAAAAATGGAATGATTAAAAGAAAAACAAAAATGCTCCAAACACTAAAAAAAAAAAAAAAAAAAGTTGAAAGTGGGAACTCTCCCTCTACCAAAGAATATTGAATCATTAGTTGTTAGAAAATTTTGAATATATGGATTACTTTTCTTTTTTCTTTTTTCTTGTTTTCATACCCAAAAAAAAATAATGTCGAGATGTTTCCACACCCTAATCCTTAATTCCATCAATCTTCTACTTTATTCTATCCCGCTTCTGTTAAAGACGAAAACGAAACATTTCTTATAAGGGTGTAGAAACCTCTTTCTAGTAGACACGTATTAAAGCCGTGAGGTTGACGACGATACGTAATAGGCCAAAACTTGTTAGTGATGAGCTTGAGCTATTACAAATGATTTCAGAGTCACATACCAGTGTGACAGTGAGGATTTTAGGCTCCCAAAGGGAGAGGATTGTGAGATCGATGTGGTAGAGTGGACGTTGGGACTCCAAGGGAGTAGATTGTGAGATCTCACGGATAGTGTGCTAACAAGAACGTTGGGCTCCTAAGGAGGTGGATTGTGAGATTGATATGTTAGAGACGGGTCTTAAAGTAAATGGATTGTGAGATCTCACCTCAATTTGAGGAGGGAGGATGTGAAATCTCTCTGTACTAGATGCATTTTAAAACTGTGAAGTTGACGAACGATACATAACAAGTCAAGTTATTGCTCTCTCCACCCGTACTTATGCTTCTTACGAGATTTAGCTCGTATGTAAAATTAAAAATAAATAAATAAATAAATAAATAATAAAGTTTCCATTGGGGTCTAATTGTGTAAAAACGAAACTTTTGGGGGGCTTTACGGAGAAACAGAGGCAGTTTTTAAAATAAATAAATAAATAAAAAAAAAAAAAAAGATGATTGGAAATGCCTCCTAATTGTCCTGACTTGTTCAAACTGACACGTGTCCGTGACCAAAGAAAGATATGCCTCCTAATTGGACCAATGAGAGCCACTAGAAGAAGATATTTTAAAAAGGCAGATATGCTCCTTCACCTACCGACACGTGTTCATTAATCTTTTTGTAGTGTAGATGGACGGGTGGGATGCGTTTAGATGATGCTTTTCGTGCATCTTTTTGTGGAGACGGTGCTGATGTGGAAGGAGACAGTTTTTAAGAGAGTGCTAGCTATGAGAGGCACCATGGTGGGCCCTCAGCCACGTGTTTATTTTACAAGTGGGGAGCTCGTACAGCTAAGCAAGCCCCGAGCCGAGTACTCGCCCAAAAACTCGACGCCCAAACAACTTTATTTATATCTTTTAATTTCATTTTCATTCTAACTTTTTTATTGTTACTTTGCTTTCATCCTTATACTAATTAGTTTGAATCGGTAAACATGCACAATAATGCTATCGTATAAACTTTTATGCTTACATTAGCATGAAAGAAGTGATTAGGGTTACGATAAAAAATGATCGAATTTGAGTTGGCTTGGGATGACATCGACCAAGGAGATAGCAGGTGTGAGCCTCACAAGTGGCTAACCATGGACTTGGGTTTCAGCCCTAAGTCATTTTTCTTCTCTCTTTACTCGATGGCTCGGCTCTTGTTCTGTTTGATCCATTTTGATCCACTTGATTTTTTTAGTCTTTTCAACTTGTTATTATGGTCTATTTTACGGCATAACAATTATCATTGAAAAACGTCAATTTTGTTACCTAAGATCGATTTTGCGTATATATAATTTTTTTTTATGCGTAAATACTTTATTTAATAATAAGAAAAAAAAAATGTTATACAATTGAATTTTAAAATTATGAGGAAAAAAATATCTATTAGTTTCAAGATTTTTCCATTATTTTTCTCTTACTCTTTGAAAACGATCCATTATCAATTATGCATTGAGATATTTTTGTAAAAAAAATTAAAAAAAAAAAAAAACAAAGCAGAATGACAGCCAATCCCAAGGGGACACGTGAGTAATAAATCATTTATTTTATTTAGAAAAATAATTGATTTTAAAACCTATGGTAAAATTTAAGTAGAAAAGTGTCTAATTGTACTTTGAAGCATTAAACCCCACAAAAGTTAATGGCTTTTCAACCAAATGCAACCAATTTAAATTAGCTATTTAGCCAAACTCCCCACCTGATAGTGTCCATTGAAATATGTTCGGGGTCCAAAAAGAAGGGCAGTGCCCACTTCTAATAATAACATTAAAAATAATGATATTTCACTTTTGCCTCTCGACTCCCACTTATCTTACATCTTTCAAGTCATTTCACAAAGTCAAACTAGAATCGAGCTCAACATGGTCTTCTTTTCCTGTTGATTCTACCAAACTCATTCTTTTAGCTGTGGTTTTACTTATGCGAATCACTAATTAGATGACGAGACATTTGGATATATTAAGAGAGTCATAATTAAGACATTTGAACTTCATCGAAGCTTAATTTAATGAAAAAAAAAAGTAAATTAAAAAAAATTAATTGGCCAAGAGTGACGTGGTGATGCTGACATGGAATAAAAAGGATGAAACAGCACAACACTATCTTTTTAACCAATGTGGGGAATCTAACAGCACAATAAAGATCTATATGGCCACATGAAATTGTGGTTCATAACGTTTCTACCATTGCTGACGTGGAACCGCCCACCTTCTCCATTTCACACCCCCCTCTCTATATCCTCTCTGTATGCCTCAATTTTCTCTCCGTAGATCACCAAACTAACAGGAAAGATTAGGAAGAACAGTTCGATTCAACATCCATAAACAAAGAGATTTGAAGAACAGATTCTCTGGTTTTGTTCGATTGTTTGTTCGTTTAAATCCGAGAACGAAAATGGCTGAAGTCGAAGTCAGAGACCCAACAATCAAGCTATTTGGGAAGACGATTTCTTTGCCATTCAACCATGTCGATCATGATTCTGAATCCAAATTTGCTTCTTCAGAAGCTACTGTTCTTAAAGATTCCCAGAAGGTTGGAGTTCTTCTGCAATTCGTTTCGTTTCAGAGTGTCTGTTAATTGAGTCTCTGTTTTTCTCGGCGTTTCAGAATCCAAAAATGGAGCTTTTTCGTTCTGGGTTTTCATTTTCTTTCCGTTTTAATCATTTTTAGTTGCTTGTTCATCATTCTCTAAGCAAGAACAGGATTTGATTCTTGGATATTGAAGTTCAAAGATTGAACCGAGTTTCGCCTGATACTCTGTTTTAAGACGTGAAATTTGAATGTTCTTCTGCAGGAAACTTCATGTGAAGAACAGGGGAATGGCAGTGAAAAACAGAGCACAGAGCAAACGACATCGGTAATCAGTGAGAACCCATCAGTAGAAAGAGAAATTTCATCACCAAAAGCTGCAAAAAAGGAAGAAGAGAGCGATTCAAGCATGTCCCCTGACAATAAAACCTTAAAAAAACCAGACAAAATCCTTCCTTGTCCTCGATGTAACAGCACGGACACCAAATTCTGTTACTACAACAACTACAATGTCAACCAACCTCGTCATTTTTGCAAGAATTGCCAAAGATACTGGACGGCCGGTGGGACAATGAGAAACGTTCCCGTCGGCGCCGGCCGACGGAAGAACAAAACCTCATCTTCTTCACATTTCCATCAGTTAATAATTCCCGACGGCGGAAATGGAACCTTTCTCACTTTTGGCTCAGATTCTTCAAATGGGTTTCTCTTTGGTACAGAAAATGGAGATGACCAGTCAATTACAGCCTCCAATTCATCGGAGAAAGGAAGTAAAATCACTTCACAGCAATCAGTAGTGAAAAAGATTGTCCCGTTTCCATGGCCTTATTATTCAATGTCTCCGCCGCCATTCGCCCCGCCGGTGTATCCTGTGACGTATTACCCTGCGCCACCGTACTGGGAGTACACAGCGCCGCCTTCTTGGACGGTAGTTAATCCCAACAGTGAAAGTTCGTTAACAAATTCCTCTGTTTTGGGGAAACGGTTAAGAGATGAGAGAAGTGTGAAACAGAGCAATTATGAACAACCCTGTTTCTTGATTCCAAAGACATTGAAACTGGATGATCCAAACGAAAAAGCTGCAGCAAGCTCCATCAATGGCGGACTTTTCAGCTCTTTCCAACAAACTTCAAAGGGAAAAGTAGAACATCACAGTGAAAGTTACTCGCTTTTGCAGGCAAATCCAGCAGCTTTTTCTCGGGCTTTGAAATTCCGAGAGATTGCTTAGTTTCTTAGATCAAAAACGATGCCATTAAACAAACCCAAATCCCAATTATTCTGTTCTTGAGACTAATTAACCTAAAATTAGAGTGGAAATTATTGTTGTTTTCCAGTAGGGGCAGTTTAATGAGGACAAATCTGGACCCGACATCAGACATGAACACCCATGTTTGTAGGTTGGAGCATTTGTTTCTGTCGAGCTTTTCTGTACATTATTATTACAATCGAGATATAGATTCTTGCTTCAACAAAAACTTGCAAATATGGATATGGATGAAGTTGATTCCCAAGCTCGATTTTGATCGTTTTCTTTGCATCTTTTCCTACGAGTCGATGACTATTCTATTCCTCGAATCGAGTTGATTCATCACAAATGAAGAAGTAAGAGAGGTATAGATGCCTTAAAGTGCTGGTTGAGCTTAGAAAAGCTTTGATTCTGATAATTGGGTGTGATAGTATGTAGACTTATGTTGTTCTACACCAAGATTCATTGTGATTAAGGAAGGGACCCAATTGCATGTGATGCCATAAACTTTCATTATCATGCTACCCATCTCCCTCCTTCCCTACTTTTCAAGATAGCTTCAAATCCACGAACCAGATCATAGGTAATTCATGTTACGAATTATGAATCTTCATAATAATATGATATTGTCAAAAAACCTCGTACAAAACATAAACTTCTACAATTCTTGCGAGAGCCAAAAAATCGTCTACGGGCAAAACACTGTATCCATATAACTGCTTACCACCTCCATTCAAACTTTACGAACCTAGGTAATAATATCTCGATAAAAGAGGTGACAAAGGGGATGAGCCAAACAGGGAGTAGGCAGAGAATCCCTACCGACTGAACCCAAAATCCAATTTGACCCTTGAATCGATCCCGAGAATTCAAGGATGAGATTACTTTTTCTAATAATAAAAAAGAAGGGCTTGTGTATAAATTATTTCATAGGAATTGGAAGTATGAGTCAGGATAATATGTTATTAATGGAAGTGCAAATAAATAAATAATAAATAATGCATGGTTTTTGGAGAAAGCATCTTAGAAGCAAAGTTTTTGAAAAGTGAAAGCAACTTTACATTCCACCCAAAAAGGTAGATTGGAAAAAGATACAACAATTTGTGATTTTAAATAAGTTATTGTATATGATCTCGATCGGAAATCCAAGCTATCATCGTTGACGATTTATAGTTAGTCTTATAATATGTATATAGATTCTTCGTGAAGAATGTATTTTTATAAGTTTATAAACAAGCTATTTGCTAAATATATTTATATATTCACTCGGGGTTTTTTTTTCTTTTCTTTCTTTTTTTTTGCAAATAGTATTTGAGATATCAGTTGATGATGATGGTGTGAAGGAACTAGGTGACTATGAAACAGTTTCATAGACCTGAGTTGTGTGTTGAGTAGTGACCATTCTCGTGTTCAAACACAAGAGCTTGATAATAAGATTCAAACTGTAATATCTCACATTGGTTGTAGAGGAGAACGAAACTTCTTTTATAAGGGTGTGGAAATATTCCCTTAGCAAACACATTTTAAATCCTTGAGGGGAGATTGAAAGGAAAAGCCCAAAGAGGACAATATCTGTTACCGATGGGCCTGGGCCGTTACAAATGACATCAAAGGTAGACACCAGACAATGTGCCAACGAAGAGGTTGTTCCCCAAAGGGATAGATACGAGGCGACAATGTGCTAGTGAAGAGGTTGTTCCCCAAAGGGATAGATACGAGGCAGTGTGCCAGTAAAGACGTTGAGTCCCGAATGGGGGTGGATTGTAAGAATCCCACATTGGTTAGGGAGGAGAACGAAACTCCGTTTATAAGGGTGTATAAATCTTTCCCTAGTAGACGGGTATTAAAGCCTTGAGGGGAAGCCAGAAACGGAAAGCTGAAAGAGAAAGTTCAAAGAAGACAATATATGGTAGACGAATTTTAAAGCATTGAGGGGAAGCCCAAAGAGAATAATATCTACTAGCATCTACTAGCGGTGGGCTTAAGCCGTTATGAATAGTACCATGGTAGACACAAGGCGATGAGCTAGTAAGGACGCTGGCCCCAAAGGGGATGGATTTGGTGGAGTCTCACATCGATTGGAGAAAGTTAAGAGTGCCAATGAGGACATTGGGCCCCATGGATTGTGATATCTCACATTGGTTGGGGAAGAGAACGAAACACCCTTTATACCCAAGATCTATTCACTCTATCAATAACCGAGCCGAATTTGGTGTATCATAAGGGATTCCTAGGGTACGGACCTCCCCCAAGAATTATTTTGAAGATCCAAAACAAAAAAGAACGAGGAAAGCCCGAATTGAAAAGTCCAAAGAAGACAATATCTACTCGTTATGGACTTGATTTGTTACACAAACACAAATTTACTCTCCCATTCTATGTTATGCTTGCTGAAAGATGAGAGCATTTGCAGTGTTTATGAATGTGTTAGAATAAATGGGTGGAACCTGTAAGTATTATTGCATCACATATATATATATATATAGTCATTCACCTATTGTTGTGATTTTGGTCTGTACTTGTACTGAATTGCCCAAAATAGGTAGTGCACAAAATTTAATCCGCTGAGCACACACATCAACCAGTAGAACCTCTCAAGGTGATAATGGTTTATGTTTCTTCCAGATAGCCATGGATGGTGATTGGAGTTACCTGTGACGCTGTTGACGATCGATACGACCACCGAGCTAAGGTAAAACCCCATAGCCATAGAAGCCAAGGAAAGAGATGTGGCCAAGGATCTCATGCTTGCAGGTGCTTCTGTGAAGAAAAATTCCAATGATCCAGCCAAGGAGAGAAGATCTACTGATCCAAGAAACAAGTACTGGATGGCGATCCAAAGGAATGTGATCGGCAATGGTTGAGCGGAGTCGAGTAGACCATGTTCGGTGGCTACTCTCTTGCGCTTCGTCTCGACAACTGCTGCAACTGCCATGGCTCCAATAGAGAAAATTAACCCAACTACTATCCTTTGGAGCTGACTGATTCCCATTTCGGTTTTCGTTATCCTTCGAGCAAACGGGATGATTACTTGATCGTATATCGGGGCGAGGAGCATGATGAATGATGAAGAGAATAGGGAATATGGGGAGAGATGCAGGTGGAACTTTAAAGGAGCCTATTTTGGTGTCCATTGTTGATGCTTGTTCAACTGAAAATGTAGAGAGCTGAGCCACACAGCAGTTGAGGATGATAGTGCAAGCAAATATTGGTAGAATTTTCAACACAATCTTCACTTCTTCAACTTCTTTAACTGTGCATTCTAATGCTGAATGGAATGGCTTGTTCACAACTGCATTATTGAGAAACTTGAGACTCTCTGATGGTTCATCCACAACATCTGTTGAATCTCTTCCTTCTTCATTCTGTTTAGTTTCTTTTCCATCAGGAGCTGGACTCATGGCTATACTCGCTATCGAGTTTCATGAGCTGCTTTGCCAACACCACCGGATATAGCCGAGTAAACAACATTGCTGCTTTGTCACCGCTTGCTTCTTGGCACACACGGCGGTGGGGTTCGCTTGTTGATCGCATGGAGGAGGCTTCAGCGATGGCATCTTTACTTGTATCAGCAATATTGCCCACCCCTGGTCAAATGCTTGGCCTTGGACTTAGCTACTGATAAGAGAATTATGACTTTTACAAGCTGAAAATGCACTATCACAAATGTGGACACACTTGGTGCCTCGTGTTCGATTTCACTCATCCTATTCGCTGCCACTTACCTACTAAATATTTATCAAACGGGTTTATAGCATCTCGAGATGCCTCTAAACCAACCAAGAAGGTTTATAAGAGGCAACAAAATGTTAGACAAATACCATAAATGGACGCCTTCTGATTGGACGTTTCCGATTAGGGTGGAGGACCAATAACGTACGAATGAGGACAAGACGAGAGGAGTCGTAAAAGAAAGAACACACGACCAATAAGGTAAATAAGATTATGATTGTTTTTGCATGACAATAAATATTATTATGATCAACTAAAATATTATCAGTTCAAATCTCTCAACGACTGCATTAATTACCAGTATTAGTGGTTCAACCTCTTTTACACGTGTCGTTGGGGTTAGGGTAAAAAGAGTAAAAAAGTAAAAGAGAGAAAGGGAGAGAGGGATAATTACGAGTAACTGAATGGCAGCACTAATGAGGAAGATGAGATAAGAGGTGAAAAAGGCATCAGAAAGGAAGCCACCAAGGAGAGCAAGGAGGAAGGAAGTTCCCATGAAATTGGTGACATTGTTAGCCAATTTTGACATAGAAAGGTGCATGTAACGAGACAAATACATCACCAAATTGCTTGCATTTGCCGAAAACGCCAAATGCTCCACTATCTCCGCAACTACAAAAAAAAAGCACCCAAAAACACCAAACGTTCATCAAATCTTCTCCAAAACAGATCAAAACCCAATTCTTGAAACAACTTTGAGAATACCCAAATCAAAGGACGCTGCAAACATCCCCCCATGGCGGCCTCTCACAGCCGCCCTCTTCCGCCAGTCCACATACCCTTCCCATCTACGAATCTCAGCACTTTCCTGAGCCCAACAACCAAAAACAATCCTTTAGAGAAAGGCATAAGATACTCAAAAAAGGCTATTGAAAAACAGAGACACCCACCATACTCTGTTTTGGGTTTGAATCTTGTCTGAATAGCAGAGGGGATAAGTGATGGGATATTTAAAGATGAGAGGAGGAGAGAAAGCTAGAAGAAGAAGATGAGAAGAGAACTGTGTAGACCCTCTTCGGAAAATGACTTCCATTCCTCCAACCACTTCATGCTACCAACGAAGAATATTTTTAAAATGTCAATTGGCTTGGAGGATTAAGTGAAGGGTGTTTAAGTAATTCAAACAAAAGGGTAGTTTTGTATTTTTGTAGAGTTCTTATGGAGAATCTTTCACTTTTGAATAATGGTCGATTAGCTCATCCAAAAATTATTTAAATTTTATCAATGCTAGGTTTTCACACGCTTATAAGAAAAGAGGGCGTGCGGCAATCATCGGTTGGGGAGAAGTTTTCATATTCTTATAAGGATCACTTGGGAAAAGAGGGGGCCAGTATCCTCCCTAGTACTGCCCTAACTTCTGTTACCGTTTGTAACCGTCTAAACCCAACACTAGCCTATATTATTTATTATTTGTAACTACTTAAATCCAACACTAG